GGCACCCTGACCCACCCCCCGCGGCAGGGGCAGATGCAGCAGCAGCAGCAGCAGGTGCAGCAGCGGACGCTGATGATGCGAGGGCAGAGCCTGAGCATGACCCCCAGCATGGTGGCTGCTGGGGGCATACCTGCAACCATGAGCAACCCACGGATCCCGCAGGCAAATGCACAGCAGTTTCCGTTTCCTCCGAACTACGGTACTGGTTCCACCTCCCCTCTGCATTTTGACAGTCCTTACTCCCCCATGTCTTCCCCTGCGCTGGTCTAAGCCCCCCTCCTGCAGCCCCTTGGCTAGCTCCCTGGAAATGATGGGAAATGCGGAGCTTCAGGCCCCTTGGGAGTCCTCAGGTGGAACACAGTACCTTCCAGTTCCTTATCTGTGCATTTATGCACATACAAATCTGGATGCTCACTGGAACATGTATACGTGTGTGTATTGGCTTGTTGGACTACAAATTTTGACTGCAGTCAACAAACCAATATATACAGTAAAAAGTGCAAATGAAGCAAACTATGTGAATTGATGCTGGCAGACAGTGTAAGATGGCCAGAAGCTTCATCAGAAGCAAAGCCAGACACAGTCCTTTTAAATAATTCTTTTATTGGTGAGGATTTTTTGCATTTTGGTAATGAAGTAATCATTCTTGTGTGCATTATAATGTAAAATTAGCAACTAACTTCAATAATCAAAATTCCTTTCAGACTCAGCATTTCCTACCCTGTCCTTAAACTTGTGTGCAATATGATAGCTAATATCCTTTTGTTTGTGTGTTTTACAAAGATAGATACTGCTTTGTTTTGGGGTGCATAGGACAGTTGCCTCCATATGGTCAATGTTATACAGCTTCTTTATAAGTATTGTAGAAGTTCTATCACAGTTACATTAAATAATAGCAATATGCAAGTTCTGCTGATACAGCAGGTTATGTTCACCCAATTCTAAATTTGCTGTCTGCTTTTGCTGATCTATTGTCCTTTGCACCAGGAAGAAGTTAAGTCACACAGACAGTGAACATAGGAGTAAGTTTCATGCCTCCTGATTCTTAGGCCAGCATTAAGGGTGGCTTGTTTATCTTTAGTATGCTGTTCATGATTAACTTAAACAAGACCAAAATGTCTTAAAAGAAGACTTCTGCACACAATTGGCATATAACAGCTGAAATTAGGTTTTCCTTGCATCCAGATATTTTTTTGATTTTACAAAGTCATTAAATGCTTGCTGAAAATGCCATTGCATGTGTTTGCAGGGAAACAGAAATAGAGATCCTAAGGTCCTAGGAACTTTAGAAAAAGTTGCAAATTATAGCCTAAATGCTATGCAGTAAATGGGTCATTCATAACTTTCACCATGCAGTTTCTGAGGATAAAAAAAGTCACTTACCAATGTTTTTCTTTAGGTCTATAGAGAAGAGAGACCACTTGTGTGATTAGGACACACAAGTAGCCACCATACTCAGGCAAAATACTTTTTTTTAAGGTTGTACATAAGTATTAGTTGATGATGTCTTGCTTTTAATCTGGATCCTGCATTAAGACACAAGTTTATATGTTCCACATGACGTAAGTAGGACTGTGTAAAGACCTGTCTGCAGGTACAAGCTCTTGACTTGTTTTAACTTCAAGTGTATAGCAGCTAAATTTCTTATTTTCTTCTTCAGGTATTAGTCAGCAGCCTGATCCAGGCTTTGCAGGGGCCACCACTCCTCAGAGTCCACTCATGTCCCCAAGACTGGCTCATACACAAAGCCCCATGATGCAGCAGTCTCAGGCTAATCCTGCCTATCAGTCCTCTACGGAGATGAACGGGTGGGCACAAGGGAACATGGGTGGAAACAGGTAAATCCAGAACAAAACCAAAATGAGCACACAGAATAATGGGGTCATTAATGGTCTACCTTTACTTACGGGGTTGTTCATACATAATTGTTTGTTTGTTTATTGTTAACTATCTATCCTGAAAGAGATTTCTTTTCAATTTGGCTTGACGAGTTGGTTTAAATTCTGTCTTCAGACAAGGTGAAGTGAGTGCATAACTCAAAGATCTGCATCCACACAATGCACTGCTTTGTCTGTGACAGCTGATAAAACACTGTGTGTCCTTAAGAAGCATCTCTGCTGCACAGTGAGTTCCAGCCCCTAACATTTATGTGGATGCCTTTCTGCTGCATACGATTTCCATGTGCTCCCACACTGCTTTCCACATGGCTGGATCAGCTGAGCTAGAGTCTGCATCCTTGCTGCTCTGGAATTGCAGTGACTGGGTATCACCTCCCACTTTAAATGCTGTAGTGCAACCAGGTTCAATCCATTAGTGCTTGCACATACTATGGGTGAGCATATAACTGTCATTCTCCAAGAGCGTGGAAGCATGCCTCATGCATGCAGTCACCTTCTCAATTGAGGCCCATGCCCCAGTCAGTATAACTCCAGTCTGTCCACTTTGAGTGGATTGGATGTAGAACAGTCAGTAGGCCGCAGTGAGCTTCCAAATGGCAAATCTGTGGTTTTCAGTGGAAAACAGGAGCAGCTATCAGGTTGGTGTACAGCCTGTATCACTTGACACTGGGGTGCACACAGTTGTCTACAGGGCAGCGCTTTTGTCATCCTGAAGTTCTCGGGCTGCTCTTACTATCCCAGCCCAGCAACAAATCTTTTTCCTGCTGGTTGACAAAGATGTAATAAACCTAAAACCACCAGCATTTCAGTGGTGAGGCTGATCCAAGTCTAGTTACCCCTAATCAAGTGATTTACTCTCATCCTAGTCCATGCCTCTTCCTCACTGTGTTCCTGAGGCAAAGCTACCACTGTTGTGGCTTCTGCTGAAATGGCAGCAGGGACAGCTCGGTAAGACTAATGGTTGGCTCGCTGAACTGCAGCTCTACAGCAGAGACATGTCAAATGCGTTTACACAAGCCACTGAGTATTCACAATGATCTGTAGTGTGCTGTTTCAGCCATCCAGATAACAACTTAAAAATGCGGTTAGGTGGCCTGAAAAGGCATGGAATTGGAAGGAAGAGAATGGTGGGATTTTCCAAGCTTGGTCCTGTGCCCAGAATGCTGCTGCACTCCACCAAGTCCCACAGTACACAGCTAATGGAGTATCCAAGTGTAAGGCTGATTGTTAACCCTGAAATATTTCCTCAGCTGTGGGAGCCATGCTTTGCAGGGAGGTAAAAGTCAGCCATCAATACAGAAGTGGATTAATGTGTGCCATCTGACATGCAGCAGCCCTTCCACAGGATCTCAGTCCAGTGCAGATCCTCTAGCAGATGCATTGTCAGTGATAATTCCTTCATTGACTGTAGGATTATGCTCAAAGAGTAGGAAAGACTAATATATAAACAGTGAAGTGTGTTTTAGGAAATACAAAAAAGTCTCTCATGTGACTTCCAACATAATGGAAAGGAAGATACTATGTGCAAAGCACTTAACTTTGAATAAAATCTGGGGTGAGGTCTTCCCCACAGTTCCTTCTCCTTAAGTTGTTCTGAAATGGCCTTAAAGGGACGTAAAGGGTAATGGTCTTTATGGTAACTTTATGTTGTTTCTTACAGTACCACATTTTCAAAACTGATGCGAAGATTTAGTAAATTAATTTCTGCACAATTGCATGTCTGTATTTGTGAGCCCACTTTCCATAACTGTGTGTGCAAATCTGGTATTCACATGTGCAAATAGCCTCTTTTGCAAAAATAAGGTGTATTAAACCAAATCCAATTTCAGCTCAACAGTCCTGTGCTGTGCTAACCAACAGTGGGAGGGAGAAAAAGGAGTTTTGCTTTCCCCAGAAAAATTACTTTTCCAAATACATAAAAAATACATACAAAGCCCATTTAGACAGCTAATTGGCTGTTACTGCACACACGTAACAGATTTGTACTCTGCCATAGTTTCACACGCAAAGGCATGCATTTTGTGCACAGACATGGGACCTTAAATTTTGAAAATCTATTCCTTAGACATGGATGTAGTTGAAAACTAGTCTTTCCTTTGAAGTTGACATGAACAACAGTATGTACAAATTCTATCTGAAGATATATTAAGAAGAGAATAGTTTCTTAGTGGCATAGCATTCTAAGTCTGACACATTGCTTTTTCCATTCCTTGCTATAGCATGTTTTCACAACAGTCCCCACCACATTTTGGGCAGCAAGCAAGCACCAGCATGTACAATAATAACATGAACATCAGTGTATCCATGGCAACCAACACAAGTGGTATGAACAACATGAACCAGATGACAGGGCAGATCAGCATGACCTCAGCGACCTCTGTGCCTACATCAGGGTTGTCCTCCATGGGTCCTGAGCAGGTGAGAATCTAAGGACTTGAGATGACAGCTAGAGGATTTGCTTTGACTTTCAGTAGTTTTTCAGGTCCGCTGCCTTGGGCTGTAACTGCTGCAAGCCATTACATTTCTTTTCTTGGTTTTCTTGAGAAATGATGATGTTAAAAAGGCTTTGTTTTTACCTCTGCACTCAGATAACCAAGGTAATCAATGAGGCAGAGAGCACGTCTTGCATATATATTTCCTATTTTGACCTAGCACCACTGTAGCTAACATATGTAGTTGCTCCTGGACTTCTGTGGAACATACGTGCTGATCTAGCTCCTGTTCTCAGTAGGTAAGTTTCCATAGCACAGTTGCAGGTCACCAGTGTCCTTGTTAGTTTTCTCAGCAGTGAAGGCTAGGACTGAATGGCAGGCAGATGTTTCCCAGAGGTAAGAGCGAACTGGCATGGACAGTGTGTGGAAGATGCTTCTACTGCCACTGTGTTTGTAGTACCAGACAATAGGCAGTCAGTCAGCTTCAAGAACTATCGATCTGGCACCTTCGTGAGCACAAAATCCACACCTTCTGTAATGTGGTGTGTATAAAATAGACTGCTGAATCAGTGGGTAATTAACCTGTTCTTTTCAGCTGAGGGGAGGTTTGCGCACTTGTTTTTATTTGAGACTGCTGCTTAGGGTATCCAAAATAAAGAAAACAACATTTCTGTTTGTTGACCTGCAGTTAAATTCTTACAGTACATTAGTAAGTATTTCACAAACAAGTCCTCTTAATTAACAGGTTTATATGTTTGTTTCAGAGCTGAACTCCCATTTGTTCAACTCACAGGCTTGAAATTATTAAGTTTTCTTAGAAATACTGGTAGGAAAGTACCTCATGTGTCTTCAGGCAGTGAGTGTCTCCTGCTATGGTGGACAATATCATAAACCTTTCATCTGAGATATAATCACAGGGTCTTTTAGTTTGGAAAAGATCTCTTAAGATCATTGAGTCCAACCATAAACCTAACACTGCCAAGTCCACCGGTAAACCATGTTCCTAAGTGCCACCTCTATGTGTCTTTTAAACACCTCCAGCAATATTGACTCAACCACTTCCCTGGGCATCCTCTTCCACTGCTTGATAACCCTTTTGGTGAAGACATTTTTCCTATTTTCCAGCATAAATTTTGTAACAGGCTATTTATTTTCCATTACCCTTTAGCTGAAATAGCTCTTTTCTTTCGAAAGAGCCATTCTACCAACTTTTTTTGTTGTTGTTTTGAGATTGTTGCATTGTTTTGAGTTTGTTGTGTCTTGTTTTTTCTTCTTCTAAGTTAAATAAGCCATAGTGTTTCAGGCTCTTGTAGGCTTTAAATTTCCTTTCCTTTCCTGCACCTGTTGCAGTTTGAGTCAGTATTTCCTAAGCACATGGGCCGTGTGCATGACACTAGTTCTTCCCCATTTCTCTCGGAATACTCTGGCAGATACAGCCCAGATCATATTTGTCTTTTACAGCTGCCACATACTGGTGACCTTAAGTAATTTTGATACTCCCAAATCTGTCACATTGTCTGATATTCCCAGTTGCTACACCAAACTATAGCAGATGTTTTCATTATTATTAGTTCCCAAGTGCATACAGTTGCGCACATTTAATGAAGTAAAACAATACTAAAACATAACAACAACAACAAAAAATTAAAAAATGGGAGATTTGAAGGTGACAGCCCAGCCTGATTTCTCAGCATGCCCGTGATACATAATTTTCCCTAGGAATCTGAATTGAGAAACATGCATTATAGAAAGAGATCTGATTTTATTTCAAAGATTTCCACACAGACTACTGTTTCCACTAGCACAGCTGTCACACTGTTTTTCCTTCCTGTTAGACTACAAGATCTTGTTTCAAGATAGCATTTATCTACCTTCCAGTAAGCTGAACAGGCTCAACTCTTTTATCCATCTCAACATTTGTGTTTCAGCCCATCAGCCCCTGCTTTAAACTCTTGTTACAACCTTCTCCTAGAAGTATGAACAGAGTAACTGGAGACAGTAATTTAACAATGACTGCACCAAAGTTGTGTAAAGTCAAGTTCTGCTTGTAATTTATCTTTCAATCCATGACTTGCCATGGCTCTGTTGGTGACAATGTCCCACTGGAGAGCGTGTACTGAAACACTTAAAATCCCCAAATCCTCCTCAGCCCATTCTACCTAGATGAAACCTGTATTCTTTGTTCCCAAATGTATTACATGCCTTAAGTGCTGTGGCTTTTTCTATAACAGTAACCTGTTTTACTCCTGAAGCCCCAGCACTGTGTCATCTGCAGACTCTGCAAGCAAATGTTTTATGTTTCATCTAGGTCAGAGGTGGCCAGCTGGCAGCTGAGGGACCATTTCTGAGACACAAGACAGTACTTCTTAGTCCTGAGGAATGTTTGCTGTGCCGTTTCACATTTTATTTTCTGAGAGGAATAAATACAAATTGTTTATATTAATACTAGTTTTTTTTCTGTGTTCAGGACACACTGTCTTACAGTTTGGCACCTTAATTTAGCAATTGACACAGTCTATGCTAAACTTTTTCCTGTAACTGGTGGTTTTCAAAATGACTGTATTTTCTCTAATTCTGCTGACTGTTGCCATTTCATTCATTCTTTTGGCTTTTTTTATACTGTCACCTGCACTTTTACTTACTTGTTGCACTTTTTTTGTTCCATAATACATAATTTTAGCTTCAGAATGCTCATCTCTTTGTAACCACAGTGAATAACAGTGGTTAAGCTATGAATGTGTTCCAACTCTTGAAAAAAGAAAACTTCACACGTCATATGTTATTGGATGGTTTTGGAAGTAATATGTGTTACTTGTTAGGAAAACTGTGCCTGGACATACCTGCCTGGATGAGAAGCATATTACTTTTGGTACTAAACAGGTTTGTTTGGCTCTGTCTCCTGCCTCTCTTTGTGGCACTATATGGTATCATACAGATATATGCAGAGCGTAAAAATACTAAGTTTGGCGTTTATCTGTTCATACTAGTGTATCTCCAGCTGCTCTTACTTGATACCTAGGCTCTTGGCATCACCAAGTGAAAAATGAAGATTTTTGCCAACAATGTTGTGGTTTTCCTAGCCTTGCTATTTATGATGCTTAGAGACTCTCTTTTGTACTTAAGGCATCAGAATTTGTCTCACTGTCATCCTCTCTCTTCTAATTTTATTAAAGCTTTCTAGACTACTCTTAACCTGTGTGTCTTCTAGGAGGCTGATACTAGAAATGCTGAAATACTAGCTGCCAGGTCTGCAGGTTCCTTCTGTCCAAAACAGCTTCACCAGGCATCAAGAAAGTCTAAACCTTCCAGTGTTTCACCATTCACACAACTTGCTGTCTCCTTGTCATCACCATCTCCTTGTTTGCACAGTGGACTGTTGCTGCGGTTTTGCATGTTACTTATTTTGCATCACGGATCCATGTTATTTACTGAGTTGTAAAGAGAAGTGAATTGAAACCTGTGCAATAGAAGATATATTTCAGTGTATGGAATAAACCACTATCTAGATATCCACTCAGAGCAGATGTTTATTAATCTGCACAGGTACAGTACTCCCAGGACAAAATTATCATGGCATCTGCAAAGAATTATCTAGAAATAGTATTCTGATTTTGCTCAGCATACTGGATGAAAGGAGCTCTGGACTTGTAGGAAACACCTTGTATACAACTCTGCTTCATTAGCAGGAGGCTGTATTAATATGCTTAACTACAAAGGAGTTTTGAAACATCTGTCTTGTTTTACTCAGATTTCATATCTGAAAACACCACTTGACCTGTCTTCAGAAAGCTATAAAAACTCTTCCATTTCCTTCTCCATATTTTTCTGATTGAATTGTTATTGCAGTCAGAAAAGTTAATGTCTTAACAGTGGGGTCTTTTATTTCAAGGACTTTTGAAGCAAATGTACTCATAGAATAAAATAGGGGGGGGTTGTTGTTGGGGTTTTTTTAAATTTTTGTATCTGCTACCATGCCAGTCAGGGTTCTTGCATTATCACTGGCAAGGAGATTCTGTGGTAGATGCCTTTGCTGCTTTTGTGGTGTGCAGCCTAGAAACATCTTCCTTTTCCATACTGGTTCTAACTCTGCCATGATGCAAATTGTGTACTCATTGTTTTGTTCCAATACTGCTGCTGATTCAGTAAACATTTTTTTTATTTCTGCTTTTTATTTTTTCCTTCCTTTGTCTGCTGAACAAACAGAAAAGGCATTTCTCTACATTAATTCTAATGAAAACTTCTCAAACATGGGTTCTGATGCTTAGTCAAATGCATGTAGATGAAGTTGTGAAGCTGTCTCTTTTCTAACCAAATAGCATGTTTCTCTTCCCTTCTGATTTAAATTCAGGTTTTTTAAAACTGCCCATTTGTATTAGGAAGCAGAAAGCATTATTAGATGTTTGCAGCAGTGAACAGTCAATTTCTTCAGAGTTGAAATTTCCATGGCAAAAATATTTTAACTTTTTTACCTTTCCTGTTGAACTGTAGTCTTGTCTCTGGCAGCATTTGAAATCACCTCTTTAGGTAGTTGCGTGTAATTGCATTTGCCTTTGTGACACTTTGCAAAATTGGTGAATAGCAACAGAAGCAACAGTCAGAAGGACCTGAAACAAGAAAACTGTTGCCACAGCAGGTTGCTGTAGCTGAAGTGAGGTAGTGCAGTGGCAGAATCTTCTCTCCTTGGCAACACGAAGTCTCCTAAAGGGCAGGTGACACAGAAAACATCTTTTTCATTCCTGCAGAGTCTGGAGGGGCATATCCTCCCTATCATCACATACATCTAGTCTGAGGGAAGTAATAGAGAGAACCAAGTCATCAAAGACTCCCTAAGGGATTCTTTCCCTGTAAAATTTAGGAAGCTGAGTGTTCTAACACTTCAGAACTGTGCTGAAGGGCTGCGTTTTGTATTTTATACCAGTTCCTACACAGTGAGATTAATCCTTTGATTAAGAAAGCAGTGCTGTAAAT